CTGTCCTCCATCGGATGAAACGCTCGCTCCCTCCTCTCTCGCCTCAGAGAGCTGCACCAACTCCTCTCTCGGCCGTCGCCCTCGTCTTTCTCGGAATGTTTGATAACATCATGAGGTCCAGATAGCTCCAGTCAGGAAGTAGACCCACCCTGCGCCCCGAGTCCAGTCCGTATCCTGCAACGGCAGCTGCATCAACGCCAGGAGCCAGACACGCATGATTATCCCATCCTGGCTTCCAGCAGCTACACCAGCATCCACTCCCACCTCGCGTGCGCGCGCGCGTGCATGCGCCAATGCACGGGCGTTTGTGTGAGTGTGAGGGCGCGTGTGTTTGCCTGTGTCTGTGTGTGTGTGTGTGTGTGTGTGTGTGTGTGTGTGTGGTGGGCGGTGTGAGAGGGAAGAACTGCAAACTGCCTCTCTGCCATAGGTCTGTAAGCTCATTATTTATAGTGGATACCTGCAGAGCGGCTTCAAGCATGAAGCTTCTCCTCATGATGATTTAACCTTTTCCTCCAGAGGCTCCACGCCTTTTACCCCTCAGCACCGCCACACACACACACACACACACACACACACGCACACACACACGCTGCCCTGCTTTCTATGTCTCTTCCAGACGCTGCTGCTGTTCCATCTCTGATTCTGCACCACTCACAGCATCTCCCGTGTTTCGTGTCCAAAGTGATTCTTCACAGACAATCAAACCAGCGCTACACTTTAAACCTGTTCTGGATTATAACTGCTTCTTTATTGAAGCAGAGACAGGAGTGGATGTTGAGAAACCTCAGATTTCATTGAGCAGCATGATGCCTACACTTTCCTTAAATACTGATAATCATGTGGTAGTGCAATAGAAAACATCAGGGAACAGAGTCTGGTTTTTGCTAATATTTCTAGTAAATCAAACTTAAATTGTCTCTTTTTATTTTAGAATTTAAAAACAAACTTTCTTGTCACGTGAGTCTCTCTGACTTGACTTGAGTTCAATGATTGAACAGCTGAGCGCCACTGAACTGAATAAATTGGGTTTGGAACAAACCAAACTAGCAGATGAGTTCTTTCCATCTTCTCTATCTCACCTCTCATCTTCTCTGTGTTTTTCTCAGGATGCATTTAAAACTTGTTAACACTCCCCAAACACTCCTGTTTTTGTAGTTTGAGAAAACAGACATAGTGGAAACCTGCTATG